GACAGATTTCCCTGCCCTTTCATATACCTTGACTTTTGAAGTCACTACCCATTTGTATACCTAACACCTGAAAAAGTTACCCCTTCTGGGCGGGGCCTTCCCGGATGTATAGGCCATTAAAGGGAGTACCCCTCCCCCTGGGAACGAAATTGAATGCTATCCATTGCAAGTTGAACACAGGTGCACACAGTTTCAAGCTAAATGGAAAATTTCATTCCCACATACTTTTCCTCTCCATGCGCCACTCCTCGAGACAGTGTTAGAGTAAAAGCAGAGTTTTCAGCTTCTTTCCTCTGCAGTATTTCCTGCCATCGAACCATCACCTCCAAACCATGAGTGGGATTGAGAATAGGATTCCATCCTTGAAAATGATTCCTCAGCTAACAAAAGCAGAACAACCAATTGCATAAATGTCAACACTGGCGTTAACTGCTACAGTTATAACCATATCCTATTCAAAATGAAACCAACTCCAGAAAAGTAAAGCAGCTGACCAAAGATAGTCTTCCTTCTCGTCCCCAGGATTTCGCGTGGCCATTTTTTGCTCGCGATTTTCTTTTGCTTCATGCAGACCAACTAAACGGAAGAGGAACTACTCATAGCCTATTTCGAAGCTAATACCGGGATCTAGTGTAGCCTTGAAGACGTACTTCATCTTCATCATACGTTTGATGAAATTTGCTTACCAAGTAATTTACTTACCAAAGAGAACACAAGAGGTTCAGCTAGGGATGCTAAGTCATACATCTACAAAAAACAAAATGAAAATCTGATTTAATATGGGTAAAATTTTGCCTGAGAAAACTTTATCTTGTTACCTAAATCTTTCCAAAACTCTCAAGTCCATCTAATGTTTCATCAAAGTCTTTCCGATGAAGGTAATGTCTGACATGACATTGTTTAATGTGTAAGCCATTATTTAAGTGCTCAATATGCAGTTATTGTATGGTTTAATCAATGACCCAAGCTCAACTATACATGTGGAGGTGCAGTGGTCTCACGGTTAATGCTCTCGACTCTGGATTGAGCGGTCCATGTTTGAGCCCTGGCTGGAGACATTGTGTCGTGTTCTTGGGCAAGACACTTTACTCTCACAGTNAGAACCTAATGGTTTAAGAACCTGCTGGCAGAAATTTGCCATTTTAATATCCAAAAATATAACAATGGGTGGTGGATAACAAGTACTGAGTTACACTATTGAGGCAGTACAAATGTTTCTTGTGTTACCTGTCAATCATATTAATAACCTCCATCAATCTTTTGATGTCTTTTTCCTCTCGTTCTAAGACTGCCGTGAGCTTCTCTTCCTCATGTTTCAGGTTCACCACAAGATCTCGCTCAAATTTCAATCTGGAAAGATGACAAAGATTCATAAAAACTGATGATTTACTTCAAAGCGGTCTCAGCATAGATCCTTTTCATAAATGGCTGCCGATTTAAAATTCTTTTGTATACATTTAAATTAGCCTCTCTAACCTCATTTGAGAGTAAAAATTCTTTTGAATTATCAACTTAAAAATGAGGTTAGTCAGGCTAATTTTCATAATTACAAAGGAATTTTTAATTGGCCGCCATTTATTAAAAGGGTCTATGCACTGGCAAGTTGTGGATATCAGGGATGTCATTAAGGGCTGTAAACCGTAGAAACTGTTACAGCTGAGTATGCTTGATTTTCCCTTGATACTGTGGGTGAAAATACCTGTTGTTTACAAAATTCACCCACAAAGTAACCAGTTGGTTATGGATGTGGAGAACAACGCTACAAGTGACTCAAAACTTGATGACAGCCCTGGACATATGTGATGAAAAAAAACAAAAAAAAAAACAGTTCCGTTAGTCTAGATCAAATAACTCAACCTGACATATCAGTTTCTTCTCATATTTTTCCTGAATATTTAACAAGACAAATGTTCAACTTGGTCAAGACACTCCATTCCAGTGGATACATGAGTAATGGTATCAACAGTACTGAAACAAACATTCTCTTCAAATGTGTATCATTAACTACTCATTAACTGAGAGTGGCATCTTTACAGGACATCTCAAACCAAGACCAATCCATATTGATTGAACAATAGCAAAGTCAATACAGCAAAGTCAAGGTTTGCAATTTTCCCATAAAGACCGGATGTTCAATTGAGGTTAATAAATTGTTTATTTTATGGCTTTTTGCTTTATTTCTGCAGGCCAGTGATCAGCCAGTGGGTGTTACTGGAGAATAATGCCCCAGAATTAGCCAATCAAAGAGTGTGTTTTATTGGCTACAGACACAAGCCTTATAACGAATATTAATGAATAGTTTCCACAAACATACAAATATAACAACTTACTGTCTGTCTGTTTGTATGATGTCAGTCTCTGCCATGTCAATAAGGAGGTTCAAGTTGTATGTTAATTCTGGCATAGAAAATGAAGCCTCTGCATCTCGAACTGAAAATAAACAAATTCTAATTCATATTTAATTCCCAAGAGTGAATAAAAAGCTAATTCCTAAATAATCAAGACTGCAGTAAAAAGGTTATAACAAATTTGTCTAATATTAGACAATATTATTTTTTCATGAGTGGACGTTGGATATGAGATGATAGCCTACATGGCAGGCCGTAGAAGGGGAGGGAAAGGATCAAAATGAATGTGGAAGGATCAAGCACGCTTCCATCATGTGCTTTGCACGCTCAATCCTCCTGCGCTTCGTGCGTTCGTTTTTCCCCTTTCCCTCCCCTTTGGGTGCCTGCCACACAGGCTAATGAGATGATAGATAGCCAACAAGATGCATAGCGCTAAGTTAGCTATAATCATCTGATATCCAACAAGTGCGAGTGGAATAATACATAATTGATTAATTAAAAATGCCCCACAAATATAGGAAACTAAAATAAATTAAAAATAACACACCCCAAAACATAATGTGGATGGCTTCCCATATTTTTAGAGCATGATATAGTTACCATGATGGCTACGCCAATGAAAGTCTTGAATTACATTATCCAATGATCCAGCTTTTAATA